ATGTACGGAACTATCAAGGAGAAAATACATTTATCGGTATTTTTGTATTTGGATTGTATTAGCGGTTTTATTTTACTTGTCCTTTGGGTAACCCCACACTACACTTTAGTGACCACAAAATACAAAGACCTTAGTTCATAGTTTTATTTGTTAGATAAATGGGATCCACTGATAATGTTGTATGGTTGAGTTCTCTTGTCAGCAGGAAAAAAATCTAGCAAAGTTAAACTTCTCTTTTTTTTTGTGGAAAATGTAAAGCTTCCATTAATTATACAAATACTAAATTTTGTTTTTGCCTTTTATGTTTAGTAGTACGAATCTTTTTCGATACGATGTGATAGTTAATTTTCTAACGTTCTTTTCGCATATTCGGCATCTTTTGTATACTGAAATATTCATAGTTTAAATTGATACTATTATTTCATTCACAGTTGTAATGAAAATAAAACCTAGCATTTTTTTGTAGAATTGTAAACAACTATTACAAGTTTGGAAAATTGTATGATGTGAAATATGATAAAACGAAAAATGAAGAAAATAAAAAGGTTGATTTGAACTTAAAAAAAACTATAATAATTATAATAGATGATCGACTACATACTATTAATAATACTTTTTTGTTGACAGCATAATATCTAGAATGATTCAGTAATTCAAACCAGTACTACAAAGTTTACATATTAATGTTATACTTCATGTTTCACAATACATTATGTTTAAAGAATTTTTTTATTTCAGATTAAGTATTTTCTTATTATTTCATGCAAAATTTATTAATTTTAAATTAACTATTTCCATTTTTCAGTTTGTTATTAGTTAATTAGATAAATACTAAGCGATGTTTTAATTTAAAAATAAACGTAAATATCAAATTCTTGCTTAATTTGTGTGCAAATAAAATCCTTAAATATCACTTGTAGGCTTGCGAGAAGATAATTTTTTTTAATCATTGTGAAAGTAATATCTGAATTTTTACAAAGTTGGGAGATTAGTTTTGATTTTGGTCCAATATCTATCTCTTTAGTAAAAGAAAAATCTTAGTAGACTTGAAGATTTTAGAGTTAGTCGAAAGGATGAAAAAAAAAAATTAAGAAAGAAAAAGAGAACTCAGAAAAAGACATATATAGTCAGGATTCAGGAGGATGATTTCGCAGAAGAAAAAAAAAATAAGGAGAAGCTAGTTTGTCAATTATTTGCGAAACTTAACGTTATTTTGGTAAATTTTATGGTTTAACTTTGTTGTTTTTGACAGTTTTATGGTGTAACTAATTTATCAACACTTTTCTGTTTGGTGACATTCGATATAAAAATGTTTAAACTTAATATATTGTGTATGGGCGTTCGTTGTGGTGAAAGGGCTGCACAATGGATAAGTTGGATAAAAGATGTTAGAATATAAATCAATAATAGTTGGAGATGCGGCCCCTGACATGCTGAGAGATCCACATCACCAGACCAAGCAGTGATGATCACTGCAAAATGCAGTAACCGCTTGGCCTTAAACTCCTCAGCTACTCACACTTCACGTTTCCTTCTCAACTTCTCCCATTTCCAATCATTCTCTTTTATATTATTTTAGCTATATTGTTATATGTTTTTCTTTTTTGCAGTCGGTCTTTTTATTTTTCTGTTTCTTTTGTTGAAAGCTTTTTTATACGATTGATTTTTTTTTTCTGAGGGATTATCAAGCTTGTTGATTTCGATAATAATTAAATTTCAAAGATATACTATAATAGGTGGTTACTTAGTATTATGTGTTAAAATAGCTCACGAAAATTATTTAATTCTTTTAATATAGTATTTTAAATTAATGTTTTTGGGATAGTTTTTTATTCATAAAATATAGATGGAAACGATTTAGAACAATCATGGCCCCCTAAAGTTTAAAGACACATATGACATCTTAGAGATTGAAAAAGAGAATGATATTTAGAATTCAACCTAACTAAACTAAATCATGCCCACATAAAATGGAACAGATTGAATAGTGGCTAAAATTTAACCACATAATTGCCATGGGATAATCGTAGCTCAGTTACAGGATAACGAGATGGTCAGGGTTTTGGTAGTGGTTACTTAACCACGAAGGCACGAAGCGGAGGTTATAGCTAGTGGAATTAATTTAAGGAAATTAGGTGGAATAGCAGATTAAAACTGAGTCTTATTTAGGTCCATTAAAACTGATGTTTTTAATTGTGGGTAAAGACATCTAACACCCCATCAAATTAAAACCACATCATTTCTTTTAAATCATATCACTCAAACTTTTATTCGTTCTGACAATTTCTATTTTCTACAACACCATAGTTTTTGCTAGAAAAACTTTTAGTTGAATTTAGTTTTTCTCTTTTGTTTTTAAATTTTGAATTGATTCTATTTCTTTGAGAACTTCACAGAAAAACTATTTTTTGTGGTTTATTCTATTTCCACTCATTTTCCCCGCCGATTAATCCGCTGGAAACGATGCCGAGCACAGTGTAACACCATCGACAAAAGCTTTTTATTTTCTAGAAACCTTCCACTTAACTCCACTTTCGATGAAAGACGTTTCAATGATTTTGAAGTGCTCCCCCTCAGAAACACTCCCAGACACCCCGTCACCTCTCAGCGTATCATCTTCGTCGACGGTATTACAGCATCCATATCCTTCATCGGTGAGTTATGAAAGGTTATTTTCTTGGCCCACCTCTTTGATTATTGGTTAATCAGCTTTACTTATAGTACTTCTGATTTCTCTTCACTGTATTCACCTAGTTCTGTCTTCTTCTTCGTTGTTATTGATATCTGGTTCTCTCCATTTTGTAGATCTAGAGTAGTTAACTATTTTTATACGCATATCTAGTAAGTAGTAACTACATTGAATATCATCATTAGTAATCGTCTACGCTACTCGTCCAATAGATACAATAAATAATTACTCCATATTCAGTTAGTCTACATAACTACTATGCACATATAACCTAACTATCGATAGTTAATTACGTTACAACAATAATCAGTTCATAATAGCTAACTTTTTGACATTTTTTCTTTGTAGGGATATGTGTTCTCTTCGACAATGTCAACCCACACCGTTCGCAATAATATTCTGAACCAGATTCACGATGCACTCGTTGATGTCTTTGAAATGGTTGTTCATGTAAGGTTTTAAACCGAAAATTCAAGGAACCATCTGTCATCAGGGCGCTCAACCTATCTGCATTCATTAAACGGCCCAGCTTAAAGAAGCGCTAACCTAAAGTCTTTGAGTCAGCGAAAATAGACAACTACCAATAATCGACTTTGAGTAGTAGCTATCTAATCGAAATAGATAATTATTAATACTTACTTAAGTATTAGAATCAACTTTGAGTTGTATGGAGAAAATAGACAACTATTAATAATCGACTTTGAGTACTAGCTATCTAATCGAAATACATTACAGAAAGTAGTCAACGTCTCTGTTCATTCAAACAAATCTTCATTTTAAACATAATCACCTACTAGTAGTCGTCTACTAGAAATATGAGCACAACAAACAAAAAAATTAGAATGAAAAAGACATCTATACTGAAGTGATAGATAAGTAGTTGGTATATGTCTATTTATTTTCTACTTGGTGCAACTATAGAAAGTATTTTCCATAATATCTCACACTTTTGGAGTGAAAAGATGTTTGTCTCAGGGAGATGCAACTTTTTTTATGAAAATAGTTGTCTACTATATAACCACATATTCTGAGAAAATGATTTTCTATGAAAGTAGTCAACTATGGTCATATAATTACCATTGTGACCCCTTCCAAGACACCTGCTGCAAAGCCTTGCCGCATTCTTCAAATTTTTTTGTGTCATTCAAACGAATTGGATCAACCACATTTCAACCACAAAGTAGCCAACTATGACTCATTATAAAAAAAGGCTGACTATGTTACAAACACTACATAGTTGACTATGTTACCTTCATTTCTCCTCGGGATAAGATCTTTATTTTCTTTGGTTGATCATGTGGTCAGCGCATTAATGGGGGAAGTAGTTCCGAATCACCAGAACATACATGAGTAGGTATGGGGTGGAAAGGTCTTTCATAAAAGGATCTTCAAAAACTGGTTGTGCACCTCTCCCATAAGCTTCTAATTTGCAATGTTGTTGTAAGAAGAAGTTGCCGATAACTTGTTATGTACACCTCTCATTTTTTTGTTGTAAACTTCATACTCATCGTGGCCGACAACAACCACCTACATTTTAAACATAGTCACCTATTAGTAGTTGTCTACTATAAATATATGAACACAACCAATAAAAGAATTAGAATTGAAAAGAACATCTATACTTAATTGATAGGTGGCTACTTGATATATGTCTATTTACTTTCAACTTGGTGCAACCATAGAAAGTATCGTCAATAATGTCTCATAATTTTAGAATGAGAGGGTGTTCTTCTGAGGTGGATGCATTTTTTTATGAAAATAGTCGTCTACTACATAATTGCATACTCTAAGTAAATGATTCTTTTAATAAAAATAGTCAATTATGTCATAGAGTTACGTTAGATTTTAAATGATTTGAGGATAAAAACACCGTGTATAAAAGAAAAGAGAAACAGAGAAGAAAATGATGAGAAGAATATTAGAGAGGAAGAGCAGAATGGTGGAGAGAGAAAAGAAAAATTAATCTAGTCCTACATACACATTATAAAACGATAATAAATATTGATGTTGGTTAAAGTTCTCGCTGCTATTGTTCAAAGAAGCAGGTAAAATTTACGTCTTTCTAAGTTTTGTGGTCCCATATCATGTCAAAAAAAAGTTTTTTCCAAAATTAAAGAATAAAAGGTATTCAGTCTTTTCCAGTTACTTTTTGTTGTTGACTTGTATTATGCAGTGAATTGATTGCTTTTTTATGGTAGATAATTTGCTCATCAAAAACTATTATTGGTGCAAATCTCCCATTAATTTACTTGATACTTTTTCTTAATACTTATTATATGTAATACTTATGCTATCTTATAAAATTGTCTCTAGATTTAATAAAACTTACGATAACTAACCGTAGCTTAATTATATATACAAATAAGGTTAATAATTTACGTAGATCTTATATGCAGGGAAGAATTAGATTCTTATCTAACTTGCTATGGAGGTTTCTTAACTTCTCTCTATCGTTGAGCTCCAGATTCAATATCAGATTCTCCATCATCTTTTGGTTGCACTGTGAAACGTTCTTCGGTCATGAAGAAAGAAGTTCTTCTTCGCTCAAACTCTCTGTTTAATGACATGCTTCGTGGCCATGGTTTGATCTGTATAGTCGAAGGGCTCGGAGTGCGAGTAATAGGTGAACTCACATTATGAACTGCACTTTTCTTGAAAGTATGCGACTTTATGTCTTTCTCATCGAAGATTCTGAACAGAAACGTTAGCTTTCTCCACACGGAACCTCCAGAACCATCATCACATAGCGTGTGCCTATGCTCGTACAAAAAGGTGGCTACAAAGAGGAGAAATGACAAGAACGAAGCAATGCCTGCTATTAAGAACAGTCCCCAAAAGCTACTGAGGCTGAGGCGATTCGACGAAAGAGCGGTCTTTGGATCAGGACATTCACTAGCGAGGCTGCGACTGTTGAACCATTTGTTCTCGATGGGTGCCATTTCTTCACCTTGAGTCAAGTTTAAGATAGCCCTTGAGACATCTCCCGTCAAAGGAGAATTCTTGGGAAATGCCTACACATCGATCATGGAAACAAGAAAAGCGAGCGATGAAAATAAGGACTTTATTTGTTTCTTGCCATTTTGTAAAACGTTAAAACAGAACTTACAAAGCCAAAACCAGCAGTCTTAAAGGTAGGTTCGACCATGGCGTATTTGGAGCAGTACTGAGAAAGGATAGCCTTAAGGTAGGCCACTTCGTCGAAAGCTGCTGCAATACCGTCTTTTGATGTCCCTTTCGACAAAAGATCATCGCATTCTTCAGCAGAACCAAAAGGCTTGAGCTTAGATTTATCAAACCCTTCACCTATTAGAATATCATAAACGAAAGCGCCGTGTTGGTACCCTACATACTCCCCATTTCTGATGAGATCTCTCATAGTTGTGGCCGCTGGTTGTAAACGTTGTACCGTCAAGAAAGAGGTCAGATTCGCTGTGTAGCTCTGAGTCAGCACTAGCACAACAAAGCACCAAACGACCACGACAAACCTTGATAAGTTGCTCACAACCTTCTCACCTATATACACACACGTAGGCATCATTTCATATTATCGTTACAATCTTGTTAGAAAATATCACAATGAAAAGAAGTTGAGAATTAATCTACTATATAAACAAGGTAAACTAGTCTCACTTGCCTCATAGTTTTTTTTTTTTTTTTTTGAGATGGAAACTAATAAACATTAACATTTATCTTTATTGAATTCTTGATTGGTATAAAAACTTACGGTGGGCAAAAACCATGGTGGAGAAGGAGAACCAAAAACTAGTGCCGATCTGGTGGTGAGGCGGTCCACGAAAGTCATTGTTGACTCTATGTTCGAATAGCCAGACAACAAAACCAATGAGCACGAAGAAGCAAACTGTAGTGACCCATAGGTCTAAGCTCCAAGGTTTGAGGAACACCCATGTGTTCTTGTTTTCGTTGTCCCTGAGGGGCACCATCATAGACACCCCAGACTCTGTGTACGGTAAAGTGAAATCAACATACTTTGACCTGTTTGCTGTGATGGTTACATCTCCAACAACTGCATCCCACGTCTGTTCCATTTATTAATAACATGTTAGAAATCACATTGCAACAAAATTATACCTAATGTACTATATTATCCACATGGTTTAGTCTACTCGTTAGTCGTTACAATGGAAAAATATGGGGGAAAAATATGAAAAAGAACTAACCCCGTTATAGACTTGGTAGACCAAATCATTGTATTTATCATCTGGAGACTCAAAAGGGTAGTATTGAGGAATGACTGAATATGGCAACTTCTTAAGAGCAGCTTCAAAGATGTCTATGGCGTAACCCGTTGCGGTAATTACGTTACTGATCGGATCTGTCTTTACCTTCACAAAATTGAAGAAGCCTCTCTTTACTGGAACGCCCACTTTAATCTTTTTCCCATCCGTTGGAATCTGCCAACCTTTTGGAACAACTTTTGAAGGTCCGGGCCATATCATTGGCTCAAACCTCTCTGTTGTAAACGACGTCATTTTCTTGGAATTTAAATCCACAAGTCCGTTTCTTGTTGTCCAGGATCCGATAACCTTCTCTTTTTTTCCAATAACATTGATGATGTCAAAAGTTGATGACTCGAGTTCCCTGGCAATGAGTTTAAACTCTCCTGCTAAACCCTTGAATCTTACATTTGACAGAGCCTCTAGAAGACTTGGACCGTAGCGAGAGACATCAAGGGTCCCTAAATCTGTCTTGTTATTTAGAGAAGCGCTAGCTTTATCATACCGCAAGTTCTTTGTGTCGGTTTCCTCTACGGCCAAGGCCAATGCAGTGACCGAATCATACGCCCATAATGCGAAAACGTTAAGCTCTACATCGTCCCCCATGGATGGGTTCTCCTTCTCGAACTTTCTTTTCCATCTCAAACGGAAATCTTCAAGCTCTTTCGATTCAGGGACATGGCTCCTCACACCTAACAACCCCTGCATAGTCTCTAAGCTACGACCATTATGTCTCATCATATGCGTCATTCCATTTGATAGTAACCATACATACCCTTCCTCCATCATCTGGATCTCTCTAGCTTTCTGCAAAACTCGGAATCCGAGACTTGAGGCCATGTGAACAACGAAGACTCTTGTCTGCCTCGTCTTGAGCTTATAAAGTTCCTTTAGGATCTGATCATCGTTAGCTTCCGGAGAGATCACACTTCTTTTGACATCCACGTCATGTAAAGCGTTTGAGAAGGAATGCATGATTCCTTCACCTAACTCGTTGTCCACATAAATGGCGACGACGCTTCTCCACCCATAGAATTTGACAATGGCCGCAATGGCTTTGACCTGGGATGAGTCGTCGAGAGTCGCTCGGACGAAGTAAGGGTTGCTGATGGATCTTAGAAGGGGGCTCGTTGCGGAGAATGTGATGGTCGGTACTTGAGATTTGTTAGCCAGTTTGATCATAAACTCGGCTTGCATAGAGGTTCTTGGTCCGATGATGGCGCTCACTTGCTCGTTCTTGATTAGGTCTAAGGCTGCTTACACCACAAGCAAACCAAAAAAAAAAAAGATAAAGGTCAAATCTTTTGTTTTAAGAAGTTTAAGAGACTTGTTACAAAAAAAAGTTTAAGTTAGATAGACAAAATATTAAACAAACCATTGGGCGATATATAATTTGATTTTTATTTTGTACCCTAAACATTTTGAAAATTTACATATTAGGCGATTTCTAATTCGTTTTTTTTCACATAAAAGTTATTGAATATGATAATATTTGGAAAGACTTTTTTCAACATACTTTTTTTCTTTGATAAATACCCTAAAATAGCATAAAAATTACTAGAACTTAAGATATTAGGCAATTTTAATTAACTTAAGAGTTAATTGTGAAGGTATCATATGCCGTGTCACCAATGATCTAATTAGACCAATGATTTAAAAATATTTTGACGAGGATCATTTGTAAAAGAGACGTGTTTGACCATACAATCTTCATTCGTCACCAAGCCTTCCTAGAAAAGAAGGAGATTGAAGATTGTCTCTCAAGAGATTGCATTTAGAATAGACCACACACGAAGTCAATTGGATTTTAATAGCAATTTGAAAGACTAATCGTCACCAAGACTCTAAGAATGGACCACAAACGAAGCACACTTGGATTTTTCTAATAGTTATCTAAATGATTGTTCAGATTCAGTCTGGCTGTCACCCTAACTTCCAACGTAGTATGTTTAGTTCAACTAAAACTAGTAACTAACTAACTAACTAACTAAAAAAATAAAACTAGTAACTAATAAATCCAAATGATCCTTATATTTAACGAAGAATCAAGAGACAGAAAAGTAACGAACCTGCAGCTGATGCTTGAACAGTATCTTCCATGGAATCTCTGACGTGAAGCGCAAGTCTTCTGCGGTAATTAGGATGATCTTTGTAGAAATCGGACAACGACATATTAATAGATGTGAGGCAGATCTTGGAAAAGTTTGTTTTGAGATCAAGAACTACTCCTACTTTGATTTCAGTTGTTGGGTTTTGTCCTAAGCCAACCTCCATCAACAGAAAACCCCAAAGAAATAAGAAAAAGTAACTCAGAAAGGTGTTATGAGTTTTTGTAGTGTTCATCGTCTTCATCAATTTCCAAAGATCGAGGATACAGAAACTGAATGTGATTCTTTAACTTCTTGTAAGATATATATTTATATACTTACAGAAGAAGCAATTGGTTTGAAAGAGTCTTGGAATCTATGAAAGACTTTGAAATTAATGCTCTACCGAAAATGGGTCTCAAAGAAGAAGTCTTAAAATGAAATAACAATAAAAAATGGTTTGAAAGAGTCTGATGAGATTTGTTCTCAAATAGGATGAAAAACGAGAATTCGAAATTGAGGTGAATATTTTTTATCTTTGGGATTTTGTTATTAAACTAGTACTGAATGAATATTGCAGCAGTAAGAGTTATATATATATATATATATATATATATATATATATAAATGTTTAAGCCTCAAAATTTTGATTCTAACAGCAACACTAAAATAATTAAAAAAAACTAGTTAATTTGTCCACACCTCGCGTGAGTTATATATGTCTACCAAGTGTAATTTTATAAATAAATATTTTAATAACATTAAATTTTTTTATCTCTGTTCTAAGTTAGATAAATCCAAAATTTACAAATAAACTTTTGATTTTAACAAAAGGATAAAAAAACTTTCTGAAGTATATAGATAAGAAATCGAAAATCATAATCTAGATATTATAATTAACAATATTTCATTAGAGATATAGATTTTATTTATTGTCTTTTTTTACTTTTATCTTAGATTTTTACTAGATTTTGGTTTTATAAAATTATAGAAATCGCAAACCCTATAAACATAAGAAATCATAAACACTATAATAATAAACGATATTCTAGCATAAATTTTATTGTTTTTTTTGTTTTGAAACGATATTCAAAATTTTATTCTAATTTTTGTTTTTTTTAACATTTTAGTTAGTTTTTTTCTATATTTCGGAAATATTAGAAATGGTAAATTTCTAGTTTTTTGTGTTTTTTTTAAAAACGTTTTTGTCTAATTTTTTCTAAATTTTGGTTTGATATAAATTTAAAAACGGTTTGACTGACTACGAAATTAAACATTAAACCATAATAATTTAGACATGTTTGTTTTAAGTTTTGTTTACACATTATCAGCTAATAACAAAAAAATGACATGTAATTGTAAAATGGGGTTAAACGGTCTTGTTGCAGCCGAAACTCATTCTAGAGCTGACACATAAGCGAAAATCTATGAAACTCGCTATGAGCGCGACACATCAACAAATCACTACACAAATAAGTATGTAGATTATCCTAATAGAAATGTACCATACCGCGGGGTTGTTCTCCTCACCTCATAAGTTTATTGGGTGTTGGGCCCAACTAAAATTAGCCCAGCTTACATTCAACTTCCAGTCTGCAGTATTTCTATACTATTTCAGTCCAATCCCTTCAGATTCATTTAGATTTTTTTCTCACTCTAACCATAAACTCTATCTTGACGAAAAATATGTACCACCTTTTTATAAGAATTTGATTCCTCTCTCTAACAAAGGCAAAAAATTGTATCTGCGCCTTATAAGCCTCCAAGGAGACATATACATAAATATGTTCTATCGTTTTCGACCTCCAATATGTATGTCATCTCCATACATTATAACATCAACCGTATCCGTATGTTTGGTTTGAATCGACGATTTAGAGAAAGTAATATGTTGGCCGAAAACCCATTCATATTGTATGTTTAACTATATTCAAGATAGATTCTTCATATTGTCCTCAGTACTATCACTCCCCCATCCAGTTCCATGTGCGTTGACTACTATCTTTGGCGTAATGCTTGGGGATCGTTTGGACCTTCTTTTTCCTTTAAGGTCACTTGGGATCATATCCGTCACTCATCTCCGACTGTTTTGTAGCATAAGCTTGTCTGGTTTAAAGAGGAGATTCCTCGCTGCACCTTCATAGCATGGCTTGCTATGCTTGGCCGCTTACCCACTAGAGATCGTCTTTTGAAATGGGGAATGTCGGTTCAAGCTGTTTGCCCTCTCTGCAATGCAGACCAGGAATCACATGAGCATTTATTTTTTCGATGTTCAGTCTCTTCAGATCTCTGGACTCGGTTTACAGGTTCTATCTGGTCTAATCCCCCATTGTCTCTCCAAGCTGTGGCGCCGTGGATTGTTAGCAGGAACTCAACTACCTCTCGCCCTCTCCAAATCCTAGCCAAGTTGATGTTTCAGTGCATCTTATACTCTTTGTGGAAGGAGCGTAATGCCCGCGTGTTTACCGCCTCAACGTCTTCGGTTAACGTTCTTCGTGCCTGTGTTGACCGTTTGATAAAGGATCGGCTCCTCTCCTTTCCAGCCAGGAGCCTCTCTTCTCAATCGTTGCTCGAACTTTATTTTCAGCATCTTGGTTGTATTAACTAATATGTAATCTCTTCTCCTATCCTGTATTTTTTCTAATAAGTGGCTTGCCACAACTCTATATAAATCTTAAAAATCTGGTATCAAATCTTAACATTTTCGACCACAAAAAAAAAAAAAGAAGATAGATTATTTAACACTCTTGTTTGTTTGCGTTACTGTAAAACAAGCTTTTATCAGCTAAAAAAAGATAAGGAATAGGCGGTGGTAAATTGCAACAAATTGTTCTAAACATGTGAAGATGGTAATTTACAGGGGAGAACTAACATTCGTTTATTATATTTGGAGAAATTTGTAAAAAGTAAAAAAGTTTTTTCTTACTATCTCGCTTATCGCATGCATAAAACACAAAACCAGACAAATTAATATGGAATATTTATGAATACCTTTATGATATTGCATATGTAAACACGATTCTCCCAATATATTTTTTTAAACAATTTTAGGTATTTAATTCCCCATGTTGATAAAAGAAGTCTCATAATTTCTGTTTTTATTTTCTTATAAAATACCCTGTTGAATAAAATTGTTTCAAAATATCAAACAAAACTAAATTTTGTAGAACTATTTAAAATGCTAAATAAAATGAAAAACAGATTCTACATCATCCTAATTTATTAAACCCATAAAGTAATTTGACTTCTTCTCAAGATTTAATTCCCTTTACTACTCGCGTCTGAATTTAACTGACTTTTAAACTAGGATTCGTGTAGATGATTTTTTTTTTTCTTTATTCAAAGGTTGATTAATAATAATTCTTGAAATTGTGCTGACCAAATAAAATAAAATAATAATAATTCTTGACATCTTTACCATTTTTATGGAGCTGACTGAATCAACGTGAAAGCTCTGTCTCAACGATTTACAGAGTTTTTTTTTTCCTTAAGTGCAAATTGTAATTTGTTTTTAATTTTTATTTTAAGTAATTGTCACTATACTGGGGAAAAGCATTGTATGGAAACCAAATTTCTTTTTTTTTTCTTTCTTTTTAAACCAAATTTCTTGTGTTCAACGCGTTTTTGGGTATGCCACATATCTAATCAAACACGATGTATTGGCCGTTGGAGGACCACATTTTATTAAGCTTGTCCGAGAATAAGACATGAGACGTATAGTATGGGCATATCCAAAACAAATATTAAATTTGTCTCACATTTTTTTCCCAAAACAATGAAAAAGTCATCAATCCCAAAAGATTAACGCACACATGATTTTGTATAGAAATGGCATGTACGTAGGTACATGTGACTATGTGAGTCAAGACTTTCACAATTTTATAAAGTTGATAATATGAAATATTGTGACCAGTTTTTTTGTTGTTGTCAAACAAATATTATGACAATTTAGATTTCGATTGGGCAAGGTTTCTTTTTCATAAGAAAAAATCTCTTGATCCAGTGTTCTCTTAATTTAGATTTGAATTTTTGAATTTTTTTTGTTTAGTTACGGTTTAATTTCGCTTGATTTAGTTTTTTTTTTTCCTATTTCCTATGATTATTTTTCATTTGCTTTGATTTCGCTTTGTTTGACTTTTTTCTGGGCGTTTGGCCTTAAGGATCTTTTCATTTTCCGCCCCTTAAATCTTCGAGAATACTCTATAACTTATGGGGTCTTGTACTATATATATTTTAAAAGTTTCGATTGTGCTGAATACAAGATGATAACCATGATTACTTTAAACTGAAAACAACAAAAGCAATATTATTGTTTTGCAACTTCTATCTTTATCTTGTTATTCACTTTTGCAACTTCTCTCTATTATACACCTTCACAGTGAATATCAGATTCCTCATCTTTATCTTGTTCTGGCTGCCGATGGATGAGTTCCCCGCTCGGGTTGAACGACACTCTTCTTAACTCAAACTCCTTATTTTGTGACTGGCTTAGTGGTGATGGACCTGATGGTGTGATCTGCATGGTTGAAGGGCTTGGAGTGCCTTGTGTAATAGGTGAACTCACATTATGAACGACATTGTTCTTGAATGTATGCGACGATATGTCTTTCTCATCAAAGATTCTAAGCAAAGACATTGACCTTCTCCAGATGGAATTTCCAGAGTCTTGAAATAGCGTGTGCCTGTGTTCATACAAGAAGTTGGCCACGAATATGAGAAGTGCCAAGGTCGAAGCAAGGCCTGCTATTAGAAACAGACCCCACAAGTTACTAAGGCTGAGATGGTTGGACGAAAGAGAAGTGTTTGGATCAGGACAATCACTATTTCTCTTGAACCATTTATCCTCGATGTGTTGCATTTCATCGCCTTGCGTCACATTCAAGATCGCTCTTGAGACATCATCCGTCAAAGGTGAATTCTTGGGGAATACCTACACACCGATAATGGAAAACAAAAATGAAAATACCTGAATACTCGAAATAAGTACCTCGACCATGTAATCTCTAAGTTTTTTCCTTGGTACTTTTCCAATTGAACTAACGCCACTTGGTAATATGTACATATTTTGCTATTTTGTAAATATAAATTGTAAGGTAAAAGAACTTACAAAGCCAAAACCACCAGTCTTAAAGTAGGGTTCAACCATGGCATACTTGGAGCAGTTCTGAGAACGGATAACTTTAAGATAGGCCACTTCGTCAAAAGATGCTGCAATTGTCCCATTGGAAAAAAGCTCGTTACATTCTTCGGCGGAACCAAAAGCCTTGAGCTGAGACTCATGAAATCTTTGTTTCTTCAAAAGTTCAAGCACGAAAGTCCCATGCTGGTACCCAACAGATTCATTGAATTTTATGAGATCAGTCCAATTTGTGACCTCTGATTGGAACCGTTGTACCGTGAGGAAAGAGGTGAGATTTGCTGTGTAGCTCTGAATCAGCACAAGTACTACGAAGCACCATACAATCACCACAAACCTCGCTAAATTGCTCACAACCTTCTCACCTACACACACACACGCACAAGTTTTACCACATCAGTATAATCTTGTTTATTATTTAGGAATCTCGTATAGATAATAACTTGGGATAAAATCTTACTATATATATATATAAACAACGTAGACTACTTTCACGCTTTCCAAATGTTTTTTTTTCTTATATAAGAAGAAGCCCATAAAATACCACTTGATCATGCCATGCAAACATATTTTTTTTTAGATGAAAGCCTATAAATTGTAACATTATATTATATTAAAGGTTTTTTGGTTAGTGTAACTTACGGTGGGCAAAGTTCATAGTGGAGAATGAAAACCAGAAACTAGTGCCGATCTGGTAGTGAGGCGGTCCACGAAAGTCGGTGTTAACTCTGTGTTCTAAAATCCACACAATAAACCCAATGAATACGAAAAAGCAAGCCGTGGTGACCCATAGGTCTAAGCTCCAAGGTTTGAGGAACACCCATGTGTTCTTGTTCTTGTTGTCCTTGAGCGGCACCATCATAGACACCCCAGACTCTGTGTACGGTAATGTGAAATCAACATACAATGACCTGTTTGCTATGATGGTTACATCTCCCACAACTGCGTCAAACCTCTGAGTCATTTAGTAATGATATGTTAGAAATCACACATCAAAGTAAACAAAGACATAATCTATAATATAATCGACGCAAATAGCTCTACTAATTGATACTTGTTAGCTATGTTAAGATATAAATGCATGAACATTTAGAACTCATTGTATTATTAAGAAGAAATAGAGGAAGGAAGAGATAACTAACCCCGGTATAGACTTGGTATACCAAATCATCGTACTCATGTGGAGAGTCGAAAGCAACGTATTTTGGAATGACTGAGTAAGGCAACATTTTAAGAGCAGCTTCGAAGACATCTATACAGTAACCCGTTACAATTGTTGCGTTACTGATCGGATCTATCTTTGCGTCCACAAAATTTAAGAAGCCTTTCTTCACCGGCACGCCTACTATAAGTTTCTTCCCGTTTGTTGGAATTTCCCATCCTTTAGGAACAACTGTCGAGTTTCCGGGCCATATCACTGGCCCGAATCTCTCCCTTGTAAACAACTTGGTGTTGTTTGACTTTGCATTCACAAGTCCAGTGCTTGGTCTCCAGAATCCGATGATTCTCTCCTTATCTCCAATAATATTGGTGATCTCAAACGCAGATGACTCGAGCTGTCTGTTAATGAGTTTAAACTCTCCTGCTAAGCCCTTGAATCTTACATTTGACAAAGCCTTTATAAGACTTTTACCGTAGCGAGAGACCCCTAATGTCCCCAAATCTGTCTTGTCATTTGACGAGGCGCTAGTCTTATCATACGACAAGTTCTTTATGTTGGTTTTCTCCACGGCCATGGCCAATGCAGTGATAGAATCATATGCCCATAACGCATAAACGTTCAGCTCTGTATCATCCCCCATCAATAGATTCTCCTTCTCCAACTTTTTCTTCCATCTCAATCTGAAATCTTCAAGCTCTTGCGATATGGGGATATGGCTCCTCACACCCAACACCCCTTGCATATTCTCCAAGCTGCTACCATGTTCGTTAGATCTCATCAAATTCATCATTCCATCTGTCAATAACCATACATATCCTTCCTTCATCATGTTGATCTCTCTAGCTTTCTGGAAAAACCGAAAACCGAGACTTGGTTCCATGTGGACAACGAATACCCTCGTCTGCATTGTCATTAGCTTATAAAGCTCCTTGAGAATCTGATCATCATTGGCCTCCTGAGGGATCAAACTTCTATGGACTACACAAGCTTGCACGTCTTGTAAAGCATCAGCCAAGTAGGGCATAATTCCTTCTCCAAATTCGTTGTCCACATAAATAGCAACGACGCTTCTCCACTCGAAGGATTTGACAATGGCCGCAATGGCTTTGACTTGGGATAAGTCATTAGAAGTGGCTCGGATAAAGTAAGGGCTGTTGATGGATGTCAGCAAAGGGCATGTCGCTGAAAATGTGACAGTGGGTACTTGAGATTTTTCGGCCAGCCTGATCATAAAATCGGCTTGCATAGAGCTTCTTGGTCCGATGATGGCGCTCACTTTTTCGTTCTTGATTAGGTCCAAGGCTGCTTGCACCACAAGCAAACACAAAAATAAGACAATAATGAAGGTTAAATTTGTTACTACGTTAAACACTAATTCTATAGACAGTTAAAATATTAAAAGTGTCCTTCATTCTGACGGAAAGTAAGTGTAATAGGGACTTGTTCGACCATGTAGTAACCGACACTTTCAAATGACGAATTTTCCTATCAACAACTTGCTCTAAATACAGACAATACTAGACGACTCTTGACTTCTAAATAGTCAACATAATTTTTCTCATCTCTCTTCCAACGAAGCATGTATATATATATATGTGTGTGTGTGTGCGCTTTTTTAATTATAATTTAAAATTTCAGATTTTGTTATTAGTTTTTCCAATAATAATTTCAATGTATTGTTCAATTTTAGGGTTTAGGATTTGATTTTAGATTATTTTGTTAATTAATTTTCAAAATTTAGTTTTGGTAAATAGAATAAATTAGCATATCTATTTGAACACTACATTGGAATTATCATTGGAAAAAAAGGTTTTTAACTTTATAAATAATCTCAAACGCCAAAATATTGTATTTCGTAATTTTTAAATATTATAACTACAGATATATAATGGTTTCTATGTAGAATCCGTCTCTGTCTGTTTATATATATATATTATATATATATACACTAGCGGTGAGCTATTTTTGTTTTGTTTTTTATATCCTTTGCATAAACATACTATAAGTAGAAAACCCAAAAAACTAAATTCAAATCCAAAAAGTAAGTTTTAAACATTATACTAAACCGAAAACGCGCAAATGATGAATTAATATATAGAACATAATAGTAATCTATTCTATATAGAACATGATAGTTTTTAATACAAACTATGATATGTGTAGAAAAAAAAATATCATGAGAATGAATCAGCTTAAACGTGTAAAATGAAGTAAAAATGATGATATGGAATTTAAATTTGTGTTGTCCAAGAAAGAAAAAATCAAGTTGAAGAGGAAGAAGATGTTAATTTTGTCTATTCTCATCACCAATTAGTTTCCAAAGAGTACTTCCATAGTTACTTACCTAATATCTTGTTATATGCAATGAAGAAGCAAGAAACAGAGAAGAAACGAACCTGCTGCGGAAGCCTGAACAACATCTTCCATTGAATCTCTGACGTGAATCGCAAGTCTTGTGGTATAATCAGCATGAACTTTGTAGAAATCGGACAACGATATGTTAATGGAAGTGAGGCAGATCTTCGAAAATGATGTTTGGAGATCAAGCACTACTCCTACTTTGATTTCACTAGTTTGGTTTTGTTCTAAACCAAACCCCATCAAAACAAAACCCCAAACGAACAGGACAAAATAAGCCATAAAGGTCTTGTTACTTTTTGTTGGGTTCATCATCTTTTATCCGAAGATTGAGGAACTTTATGTCATTCTTAACGTTCTCTTTTTTTATTGCATATATACACACAGAGAGGAAAGAAAATGGTTCGTAGGAGACCTAAAAATAATTAAAAAAAAAAAATAAAAAGAAAAAGAAAAGAAGCTGAGGTTTGAAAGAGTCAAAATAAGAAAATGTATGGTTTTAAAGAGGCAGAGAAGATAAAAGAAATCTCGATTCTTGTAGGTAGGGGAAAATCTATGGTTTCAAAGAGACAGACACTTTTACTCTTTTTTTTTCTTTGGTATCACGTGTTCCGGGTTTACTCACACTTGCTATCAGAGAGAAAGTAAATCACTTAAGCAGCAAGGATTTTGAAAATCTCCAACTTCGCTCTTTTTGTTACGTTGTGGTTCAGTCTTCTTTGGTGTTGGACAAAAGATTTCGTTTTGTCCTCTAGCAAGATCCGGTTTATACACAGGAAAAGTCATAATCCAGTGAATTACTATAGTAAGTATCCTTCTAAGTACTTGCGCAGGTGAAATGTCTTGGAAAATTCTAACAAAGAACAAAATAAACTTCTTGGAAATTAAACTACGGAAGTTTCCATTACTCTTATTCTATAAGATAATTATAAAATTACAAAAACGGAACACCTTACGTGCGTGAGAATCAGTAGATTAATTAGGGTATCAAGCACCCTTCACACTGAAGTCATCTAATCAATTATCTTTTCACATTCGTCATAAATTTGCAAATTCACGATCGATTGGAGAGAAAATATCAAACGTCGCACAATTGCAAATACCAAACTAATTTACTGATTCATCTCTCGAAGAGAGAAGTGAGCTGGTTTTGCACTGGCCACATATGTATCAATTATTCGGTTGGATCTTCTGTGTTGCTTGGACCGGCATGAATTTCCGGGACTCTGTGTGCTTGTTGTGCGGTGGCGAGTGCTGAAAAATTATTTGAGAGAATCCCAAATAGATGATCGTATCGCTCAATCCATGATCAAAGTTCTGTATCCTGTTTAGTCTTGGACCATTTGTATTATAAATTGTTTAATCATTGGTTGAATTGTGTTTAACTTGATAATAAATGATGTTTTAGTTTAGAAAATGCTAAAAATGTCGAAATTGGTAAAAATGGTTTTAGACTGTTTTATCAGACACCTAGGGGATAATAAAACAGACAATTTCAACATCTTGATCGAGTCCAACAATGTAATTTGAATATGAGTTGTGATAAAAATGAATTTGAAATGTTAGCCCATATTCTTACAAAGTAAGCCCACATCTGATTTTAACGGGAAAAAATATTTATCTCCCATGACGTAACGTTAGGCCAGATGTTGATTTTTTTTTTTTGTCAACGTAAAAAAGTTTCTACATATATTAAGTTATTAACAAGGTTTTGTTAACCAAACCAAAATTCCAAATTTTGCATACGTAAAATCTAAAGAACGAGATATGTATGTTAAACAAAGTTGATATATGCTTATCCGACAGAAGCGGTTGTTCTTATACTATACACTGATACGCATTAATGGAACTCACGAATTATAGTTCAATATGTGTTTAGGTCAATGTGTGAGAGACGGAGTTTAAAACTAAATCTTTGTAAGCGTCAAGAACATTGATTTTTAGTTGATTTCAGGAATCGTCACCCCGACATTCGAATTCGTAAAACTCTTGAACGTTACACTGTTTTTTGTGTTTTCTTTCTTCATTTCATTCACAAATCGATCTCAAACAAAGATTCATTGTAAAGGAAATAAAACAGCACCTAATGTATATTTTTGAATAGCCAACAACTTTGAAAATTTGAACTTAGAGTGGTTTCTAAATCTTTAACTTTTCTGGGTTTAGAGATCTAAGTCCATGAATTCTGGGGGGTTAGTGGAGGTATCGAGTATATAACATGTCGATCTTCTACCAAAATCCTCTGATTAGTAGATTCAGTGATTAAAGATCAAGGATAATAATGACTTACATTACATACTATTTTGGGAAACATGTTACATGTCTGTTGTGTCACATTACGTGTTACTAGCTTCTCGCTAGATGGTGTAGGATGTGAATTGCTTTCGCACCTGGTATTTTAAGGATCTCCTGCATGAAATTGCCGTAAAAAATAAAAATAAAAATAAAAATCACCAGAAACTTTGATATGGACTTGATACTCACGTATTACATCTTGATTGGCCATTTCCTTACTGGTCATGTTAATCATATACTACATTTGGATTAACATCTATACTACTACATTTTTTTTTTGTTGGTTTTAATCTAAACTACTACATTTGACCATTATCTAATCGTTATCGAAAGTTCACAAATAGCCAAAAGTATAAGAAGAAGTCCCACACAAAAAAAAAAAAAAAAAAACTCTTTTTACATGTTATGTTTGAGTTTATTCTTTTAGTAAATGCCAAAATCATTGGTTGTAAATACAAAACTTCAAAATTGTTACGTGTATTATGTAAATTTGACATTCATTATACATAAATGAAGTGAAAATGGTGGGGCGAGCATGTACGAACTCTTAAGGGAGGGGTTCACCAGAATATAATAATATTTTTTTTTTTATTTTTTTTTTTAATTCGAAAATTATAATTTTCGACCAATCAGGATGCTCCATTTCGGGATAATACCGTCTTTTCAGGTTCGTCGGGATGATACTGTCTCTTCAGTATTAAACTCTTTTGTCTCAAAACTGTGCTATGAACCTCTTTTGATTCTCTGATGTATATGCTCTTAAGACCCACCAGCCGACCTAACCATGTCCTACTCAGCTTACACATGTTTCCATGTGACCACACCACTTCTTCTAATCCCATTTTACATTTTTCATTTCTTATATAAAAATGACTCTTTCGTACAAAAAAGAATTTAATAATGTCTTTTTTTTTTAACATCTAAGTTGTAATTTCTTATACCAAAGATAGTACTATATATGCTTTAATCATCCAACTCCAACATCTGAACGCATCTTCTTATGCACACAATCTCTCTCTCTTTTCGATACTCGTGTTACATTGTTTACTAATCGTCACGTAATAATAAAGGGAAAAAGATCCGTCGGATACACCACTTTTAGACTTTTAGTACGTTCAGTTTATCATTTACATCTTTAAAATTTGGCAAAAGAAACTTCAAAAATAAAGTTTGTCATATACAACTATGTTTAGTTTTATAAGTACGGTTAGTTTATTTAATTAGAAACTGAAACATGGTCATATACCAAAGAATAGTTTTTTGGGTTAAATTTAGTTGACAATGTATTTCTTCTTCACTAACCCAAAAATTATAAGAGTAAATAAAGAAAATCTAGCAATTATATATAAAAGAAGGATTAGAAGATGTCGTGCAAAGGATCTGAGTAACTCACAAACCATGTGAGTTGATTTTGACTTACCTGTTCACAACGTTTGACCCTTCAAAAAATTCCACACTGGTCAAAGAATCTCTTATCCCTCGAGTCTCAGCCAGTAAATTTTAACAAAAGAATTCTGAAGTATATTATTTTCAGTGCCCCTTTCTTTTTTAGTAATTTAAGGACACTCTCACATGACCGTTTTTTCCATATAAACACTCTTCTATGATTAAATCTATTTACCTCTGCGACCTGTCTAATCAAACCAATTATACTAGTAAAAAGTATAAATTGTAAAAAGCATGCATTGAAAGGGTTCATATTACTACTATATACGTTTTTCTGTTATTGTAAACAAAAATAGTTAAATGTTAGTTTATGGCTCACTTTTAATATATAACACCATCTTTGTTACATGCTTTAAAATATAAAATTTAGTGATCATTATATGTGGATCCAAGAGAGAATCTAAGATCCATGATGGATATTAGGCTTTGCCTCACTAAGAAAAAAAATAACAACAACTTTATACGTTCGAAGACTGAATAAAATGATTATTTTGCGTGTTACACGCAATTTCAGATATTAAATAACTTAATACAGAAATTTAGCATATGGTTTTATATGCCACAGTTTCACGTGGCCTTAGAATACATTTTTTATAGAAAAAGTAACTATTATAGTTTAATCTAATTATTAGTTTTGGAAAAATAAATACATTAATATTCGTATGATCATGGTCCTGATCTGTAATGTTAATGGTCAAATCAAAAGTAAGTTACTGACAAAACAAATTTAAAACAAATTAATTGGAAATTGAATGTTAATTTGACCAGTCAAATGAACTATTAAGCCAACAATCTAAGATAACGGAGAGTAGGAGACATAAGTGACCAGAGTGTGCGGTATTAACGTACATATTTGTGCATTGATATTCTTGCTTTTGATTTTGACAACATACTGGTTTATGTCTAAGCTTCCAACAAATTATTTCTTTATTTGGAAGTAAGGAAATCACATGGTGAGGTCAGCTTTGTGAATCAGTGAGATGCTGGTTTTGGCTTGTTTAAATCGCATTAATAATCTCGAAAATTTGTCATATATCTTATGCTTAATAAGAACTTTATTGTTCAAATGTTTTCTTGTTTTCTTTCAAATCCATTCACGATTTTGGGAGATAAGAATAAAAAACGATATGCTTTCTTCGTTTATTCGTTTATCAGTAGCAATAGAAAGCTACAAATTAATGAGAGGATAATTTTTAACTAAAAATAAACAATTGAACTGCATCAAAATTCAGAATAAATTATGAATGTAAAACATTAGTTCATCAAAAATCAAACACCATATTTGATATTTAAAGAGCTAAAAAATCGTCGGTTCTCATCATATTTGAAGTTTGAGACAAAAAAAAAAAAAAAAAGTTTGAGACCGGAAAAATTAAATGGTTATTAGTCCGCCGAATTAGTGACTGAACTCTAAAAGCCTTATCATAAATTTCTTTATATTTTGTTGGCAAAAAAAAACTACTTTTTCCAAACTAGGATTTATGATAAGAAAATTTATAAAATCTACATCATTATATATTTATCTGTTAACAGGATTTATGTATAATGATGTAGGTTTTATAAATAATGATGTA